AAAAGGAGGCATTACAGTGGCATGCAAAAATCTAGAACTCTTGGTTCAGAGATAATACCTTTTATTAGACCAACTAAGACTTCGCATAAAAAATCTTTATTTTTGCATACCACTGTAGTGTCTCCCTTTTGGCCTTTTATTTCCCCTGCTTTTTTCCCCCTCCCTTCCCTGCTTTACCTTTTGTCTTTCTAATTTCTACCTATTTATATTCTCACTGACATCCTGCCATGATTTTAGCTTTGTCTCATAACAACAGAGACTCCCTATACCTGAAGAAGGGTGATTGTGCCCAAAAGCTTGCTAAGGACTTTTTTCCAACTATTCAGTTGACCAAAATGAAAAGCTGGTTTTTAATTCATTACACGTCATTGCTTCCACACAAAGTGATTTATTTAAATGCTTCTCCTTTCTACTGCTGCAAGGCCCTGTATTGGCTTAGAAGGTATATTTCAAAGTATACTGATGAAAGTAGCCCAAAGTCTTAATGTTCTACATTTAGGACTGAGGGAGGCAAACTCTAACAATTCCATGGCTTCTCTTTTACTGTTTCATAAACAATCTCATTGGGCAGCTTCTACCATTTTCAAACCTTAATGGGTCATTATGGATGAGCTTGCTTCTGCGCTATGTCCCAGCTGCTAGCGGGAGGGTTCGGGATTGAGAGAGTGGTCGGGAGTAAAAAGGTAAGAAAGGTTTATTGACTTAACAAACACACAACTACGCGTAGTATAACAAGACAACAATGACAGACAGTAACAATTCATGTTGGCAACTTATTGGCAATCCCCTCTGATGCCGGATGTACAACAAGTTCCTCTTCTATAAAGCTCAGCAAAGTCAGCCATCCCCGATCTGCGCTGTCTGAGGGGTACTGGGAAGGACCCTGGTATTCAGTCCTCAGGCTTCTTGAGATCCACTGGCCCACTGAATCCAGGTCAGCAGCTAATTTCTAAATTAGTAGCTTCTCTTACAATGCTGTGTCTTCCTTCTACCAATTTCTGGATGTGCTAGCCAATTTATAACTTCTGAGCTACACTGTTGACTTATAGCCACTTACATTCTTACACTATGAACTTTTCTTATGATTGACTAATAGCAGTACAAGCCTTTGCATTTTTCTGATAAGGTGAATTTTAACTGCGTCACTACATATAAGGCTTTACTACTTTTAAGGCCTCACTAATCTTACAAGGCCTCACTAATCTTTGACTTTAATTAAGCTCTTAGCAGCAACATATAGCTCGCAATACATGAAAAATGACAAGAAACACCTAGTCTAATTTTCACAGAGTGCTTAGCAAGTACTTTTATCACACAGACAACTCTTAGCTGTCACACGCTACACTTGGGAATAGACAGCATCTTCTGCAACGAGTATGATATGCTGTTGCAGCTCTGCAAACCAATTGCCATGGTACTAAGTTTGGTGATTTCAGAGGCAGCAGCTGCCACTTCCTCTTCCTCTTAATCAACAGGGGATAATGACCACAAGGAGAATAATGACCAAGAAGAGAATGATATACCAGAAAGGAATAAAAATGAAGAACAGGAGGACAATGAGAGGCTGCTTCATAAGGAACTTGCAGAACAGTTTGTATAGCACAGACTTAAGAAACAAGGAAAGACTGGTGGGAGAGAATTATACTGCAGATGTTACAAGTTACTGAAAGAATTCAGAATGGCAAATGCCATTTCCCTGGACAGAGCTGCCGGGGTACTATGATAACATAAGAATTCCTTTATTTGATAGGGATAATGTGATGGAATATTTCCTTATTCCATCACTATCTGGATACCTGTAACTCTGATTGCTACTGGTTAGTTCCTAGCCAGTCTGGGGCTATTTGATTTAGGTGTGCACACTGTAGGTTGTATGTAGGCCTGTATGATCTAAGCCATGGTATGTTGCTGTCAGACCTGGCTGTTTTCAAAGGGCCTGTGGCTAAGTGGCAGTAGCAGGCTGGAAGCCTGTCCTTGAATTACATACCATAATGTGAGAGTTTGCAGATGCCGTGGCTGGCTTGGTTAGCAGAACAGAGAAATCTGTGTCTAACTGAACACAATCATTAAGAACAAGGGAGCCTTGTTAGATTCATAGATGCTAGGGCTGGAAGGGATCTCAACAGATCATCAAATCCGACCCCCTGCCTAAGCAGGAAAGAGTGCTGGGGTCCGGGGATCCAACAAATTAATGCCTATCCAGCCTTCTCTTA